TAGATTTTATCTCCCTGGGGCTGGTCCTGAGACCCAAGGCCCCAGCTCCCTTTGTGTCTTGATACTTTAGAGTTTCCAGTGTGATCTCATCCTTCTTGGTCAGACTGGGGCCTGGTGAGGCAGTGGCAAGTGGAGGCTCCCTAAGAGGCTAGCCACACCTGGGGCTCACCACCCATTCTTTTCATCAGACTGAAGCACAGCCTAGGCCTGTGGTCGGCAAACTGCGGCTCGCGAGCCACATGCGGCTCTTTGGCCCCTTGAGTGTGGCTCTTCCTAAGCCTTAGGAGTGCCCTAATTAAGTTAATAACAATGTACCTACCTATATAGTTTAAGTTTAAAAATTTGTCTCTCAAAAGAAATTTCAATCGTTGTCCTGTTGATATTTGGCTCTGTTGACTAATGAGTCTTAAAGGCTGTGGACTCCATTTAAAGGACTTTCAAATGGCATACGGGAGCACCTGAACAAAAATAAGCACATTCAAGGACAAGCATATCACTCCAGCAGGACTATAATGAAATGGGTTCAAAGGCTGTCTTTCAACTAAAGCTCTTCAGCTCAGTTTCAAAACCATGTAGGTCTTCCTTGGACAGTTAAACATTCAAAACTGGGGAGTATGGATTTTAGTTAATTAAGAAAAAAAAACACACAGAAACAAAATCTAGAGTCAGCCCTGGCTTTCTGTAAATAAACCCAGTGCATTGCCATATCTCTATGGAAATCAGCAAATCTCTGTAGTTAATCAACAAGTGTTCGCTGATCTAGGCACTCTGGCATGTCAGTGGGTTTTCAGAGATAATGTATGTGAAACAAGGTATTGAGTGCCATGGTGGGGATGAGGGAGTGGGTACAAAGTGCTGAGAGACCAAAGGTGGGGGAGGGTGGTCTCTCAAAAGAGGTAACATGAGGTCTTCTCAAAAGAGGATACGATATCGCCAAACTAAAATGGAAGGAGCATGATTTCTAGGCATAAATAAAAATTTGCTAAAGCCATTGAAACTATGGCTGTTCTAAGTTCCAGGATGGAAATCTCTAAAAGGAGTAGAGTGACGGGAAATGAGACTGCCATGCTAGGTAAGGGTGGGGTCGGACATGAAGAACCTTGCACGCCTAGGTGAGAAGGTTGGAGTTTATCTTGAAAGCGGTGGGGAGCCACAGGAAAGTTTTGACCAGAGCAGCATCAGGTGAAAGCTTGCACTTTAGAAAGATCTGCTCTGGCAGTGGGTTTTGAGCACAAATTGTAGCAGAAAAGAGACTCCAAGGGAAAAGGCCAGTCCAGGTGTGAGAGCTGTAGTTTAAAAGGCGGGCCTGAAGTCTATGTCTTTGTTTGTTTGTTTGTTTGTTTTACTCTTCAAGTAAATATTAGTGGACAACTGTGAGGCCAGGAAGTCCCAACCTGGAGAACATTCGACAGTTCGGCGCTGAGAATACAGAGTAGGGATTAGACAGTGATGGCGAACCTATGACACGCGTGTCAGAGGTGACACGCAAACTCATTTTTTTGGTTGATTTTTCTTTGTTAAACGGCATTTAAATGTATAAAATAAATATCGAAAATATAAGTCTTTGTTTTACTATGGTTGTAAATATCAAAAAATTTCTATATGTGACACAGCACCACATATAGAAATTTGTTTTTCAAAAAATGCTGACACGCCGAGCTCAAAAGGTTCGCCATCACTGGGTTAGGAGAAGGTGGTGCCAGTCCTGTCTCTGCCCGCACTTTGCTGTGTGTCCTGTGGTTATGGCTGCTCAGGCCGCTGCCCATTGTGTGGAGACTTGCTCAGGAAGGAGGGAGCTCATACCAGTCTGTTATGGCAGACATAGCATGGACTGTGGCATCCAGCACCTCCCCCAGGTTTTAATCTGGGATCCCCTATTTAATAAGTAGGTGCCATTAAGTAATACATTTTATTTCTCTGAACCTCAGTTTCCCCACCTGTAAAATGGGGAAAGCAACATGTATTCCATGAGGCAGCAGTAAGGATTATGTAAAATTAGGTTTGTGATGCAGCCAAACTGAATTCAGAATAGGCAGTTGATCCACCTGTGTTCCATCCTGGAGGGATGGTGACAGGGACTCCCTCAAATAGGCATATGCCTGTCCCTTCCCTTTGGGGTCCAAAAATCCTTCTCAGTGACAGGAGGAAACTGGTGGTGGCTTTCGAAGGCAGTGTGTTTGGTGAATTTCTCCTTGGATGTTTGAGAGAGGCTCAAAAAAGGACAGTAATATTAAAGTAATTAAGCTGCACTTAAAAGAGTCCGAGTCTTTTATGGTGGAGTTCCAGGTCCCGCCCGCAGCCCTGCCAGCCTGTGCAGGGCGGGTTGTTTTAGGTGCTGTGGTTATAACGTAAGACCCCCTTCTCCTCTTTCTGAACGTGACAGTAATCTTTTTATGATTTGCTGGTTGGGAAGGAGTTTGAAATGTGTGAAAGCATCAGGAAGTGGCAGCAAAGACAATGCCTGGGAAACAGCAGTGTGTCTTGTTGTGGATATTAATTTCATTTGAATATGGGCTCCCGTGAAATCTTGACTTCTGAATGAACTCCATTGATCAAAAAGGGTGATTGTGGGATATCAGTTGGGCTATTGGCATCAGAAAGCAGACAACCCAAAATTGTCTGTTCCTAAACCACAGTGAACTCATGAAAGGAAATGGGATCTTAAAAGTCAAACCCGTCTTGCTTCCAGGAAAATTAAGAATCTGGACAGTATTGTTGTTTATACAAACATGGCTCTTTTTTTCTTTTTCTTCTTCTTCCTCCACCTCTCTCTATGTGACTGGTGGTGAGGTGGGGCAGGAAATGGTTTCTTTCAGATCACTCTTCCTCCGTACAGTGAAAGGGAGTTCCCCACAGTTGTGGTTGTGAAATGTTTTTAGGTCCCAGTTCATCCACCCTACCCATTCCTTTTTGCCAGTGCCATATCCCTGTCCCAGGAGTAATGAAAGTGCTTAGCTTCTGATGGTATACCAATGAGGTGATATCTGGTTGCAGTTCATTGTGATTAGTAAATAAGAAGCCCCCCCAAATAGAAAGTTTGTGTGAAATTGTCAGTTTACAAGTATCTATTCATTAAACAAATATTTAGTGCTGTCTGTATTTCAGGCACAGTGTCAGTCTCCAGGGTTGCAAAGATGAGCCATGCATGAATTCTGCTGTCAGAAAGTATATAGGTTACTAGGAAGTCATATCTGATTATGATGCAATGAACTCATCTATGGTGGTTAGTGCTCAGGTCCTTAAAAGGGACAGAGTCGGTGCAGGGGAAGTCCAGACTACTGCTAACATTTTGGGGGTGTAGAAGGTTGGAGGTGCTGATCATGAATGGCTTCCCAAGGAGGTGGTTTCTAGACATGGCAAGATATAGAGGAAGGACATCGCAAACCAAGGGAACAGCAGAGCACGGTCATGAAAGTGGAACATTTCAGCACATTTTGGGGAAAAGCGGAAATTGCTTTGAACATTTGTAAAACCACATATAAAATTTCATAGCAAGAAGAGAAAAAGAGGACAGGCTATTGTACTCAATGACTGTATGTCCTGGAGTGAGCATGAGAGTGAATCCACTGTGGGGCCTGGTCTTTGTGGTTCTGGCGTCTCCCATGCAGTAGGCTTGGTGCTGGAGATGCGACCGTGAGCAAACACATCCCGTGCCCCCGTGGAGCTTACATTTAAAGGAGGAGGCAGGCAATAGTCATAAATATCTGATTTCAACCTGTATATCCTTCAGAAAAAAAAAATAGAAAAAATAATCTAGACTGAGAGTAAAAGGGAAAAACTTCCTTGAAAAAAATGTGATCTGTGACTTAAGAATGAGTAGATTTTCACTAGGTGAAGTTGAAATCTCTCTCCTCTCTCTCTCCTCTTCTTCCGTGCCTCCCCTTCTCTCTCTGTGGCATAGATAGCTAAATCCCCAGTAATCCAGCAGTGTCCTTAGGAACCATACAGGTTAGAAGTGTGATCTGTGGTCTGTTTTGTTCACTGCTGTGACTCCAGTGGCCATAAATAAGTCCTCCATAAATATTTGTTGAAAGAAGTAATTAATCTATTAGTTAATGAGGTACACAAAGTGTAGGAGGGAGTTACAGGGAGGCTGAACGAGGAGGGACATTCTAACATAATGTTCAAGGCAGCCTAGTATTTCTGGACTTGGACTGAAAGAAATTAACCACTTGTTCATTTTGACCATGAGCAAGTTACTTAACTCCCCGAGCCTTACCTGATCTATTACATAAAGATCATGTGTGTCCTGCCTAATTCAAAGGGTTATTGTGAGGGTGTGATAAAATAGTCTAGGTAAAAGTGTTGTAGAAAGTGCTTTCAAATCTACAGGGGCGGACAAAAGTAGGTTTACAGTTGTGAGTATGCAAAAGAGAGTTTATTCTTGTATTATTATTAATTATTTCATTATTTTCCATACAAACAACTGTAAACCTACTTTTGTTCACCCCTGTATTTTGGTTATCAGGTGAAATAGTGAACTCCTAGTCCAGCTGGTGCCCAGCATTCTCTGTACTATCTCGTAGTGGAGATTCTTATCTGAGGTGGGAGTTTGAACTAAATGACTCAAATTGTTTTGGTTCTGACACATAAATTCGTTACTTAACCATTTCTAGAAGTTGTATTTTAAAGTTTTGGCTGCATACAGCTGAGTTAGAATACTGAAATATTGGATAAAAATGATGGAGATCAAAATGCAAGAAACACCGAGAAGCTTGTTTTGTTTAATGGTGGACAAAGATCTTAAACTAAAACCTGCGTGTAATTCCTAGGGAAGGGGGAAATTTGAATGTCTGATTTCCTCCTGAATTAGTGAACTCTCCGAATATCAGCTCTGCAGCCATGTTTACCAAGCTGCTAGAAGAAAGGGGGTCCCTTAAGCTAAAAAGGCACCTTTTGTGAGTTTGGCCATGAGAAAGTCCAGTTACAGGCCTCCATATTCAACTCTCTCCCGAAATCCAGCCATCAACATCGCTCAGTTTCTTTATGCTGATCATGAATATGGTATTTTGAATATAATTCAAGACATGAGGCGAGGAAAAGGAAAGCTTAAATCAATGGATTGGTATTTTATTCTGGGAGAAGCACCTCTCTCTGGGCTCTGAACCTAATTGGAGACGGCTCAGTATTAATAGAATGTACTGTCAGCAAGATGATTGTGTGATCAGGTTGCAGCTAGGAGAGGGATTCACAAAGGATCGAATCCCCGTTTTTCTATTTTAACATTGTTTGTTAGACAAATAACATTAGCCTGGAAATTTAAAAAAAAAAAAAAGGTAAGAGTTATCTGACAATCTCATAAATATTTTCACTTTTCCGTTTTTTTCATACTTCTCTAGATGAAGAAATAATTTTTACATAGATGTAATCACATCTTAGAGACCATTTCATATTCTTTTCTCTAGCTAATGCGATGTTATGTATTTTTCCATGTTGCTTCATAACGTTAGTATTTGTCCTTTCTGATGTCTATAGAACCTTCCATTACGTGGACATACTATTCTTTACTTAATGGTTCCTCTGTTCTTCCACCCTTTATCTTTTCCTAGTTTTTAAAATAGATAATTCTTATCCAAAATATCTTTATGGCATACAGCTTTATTCTCCCGTTGAGTTTTTCTTTCAGATAAATTCCCATGAGTGGGGTTACTTGGTCAGAGGCAACGAACATGTTATATACTGCCAAATTTGCACTCTGCCTTTGTTTTTGTTTTGTTTTGTTTTGTTTTTTGCTTTGGAGGGCAAATAAAACTTTTAGGCAGAAAACTATTGCAGGCTGGATTACTCTTGACGTTCACTCTTGAGTGCATGTGTTAAGTAAAGGTAAACCATGGGGACAGATTTGCCTCTCGACTGATTTGCTAGTTTCCTGGAGAAAGCAAAATTATGCACTGCAAAGCTTGGGAATTAGGGGACTTTATTGGTTTTTTTGTTTTGTTTTTGACTATATCATTTGCCACATGTCAGGCATTGTCTTAGATTTACAATCCACTGAGATGCTGCTGGCAATGTTCATGGTTGGACCTGAATATAATTTTAACACCTCAAAGCTGGAAGGGACCTTAGAGGTCATTAAGCCCAACCTCCTCCTTTTAAGATGGGCCCTAGAAAGGGAAAAACTCAAACACGACTAGCCAAGCTGGGAAAGAAGACAGATCTCCTGGTCCCCAGGCCTCCTTTAATTTAGGGCAAGAGAGGAAGAAAAAAAAAATGTCTGGAGAGTTGCTTCATTTTTCTGATGACTTATGCTTTAAGAAAGTAACTTTTGTAACAAAAATATTCCCAACTAAAAACATTAATGTTGGGAAAATTATAAACTCAAACGTGATTTCCAACTGGATGGATGTTTTTCATCTCTCACAATTTATTATTTTACGTGTAAATGTACTGAGAGATGAAAACTTTGACTGAGATAACTGGGGCCAAGGTCTTCCCAGAAACTCTGAATTAGGTATGTTATCATCTTCATGTTATAAGGAAACCAGGGCTGAAAGGTTAAGGGACTTATTCAAGGGCACACAGTGAGTGACAGACTGGGATTCAAAGAAGGACCTCTAAGAGGGAGGGCACTTCGTAAAATGCCATCTCAACTGGCAGAACGGGACACAGGCCTTGATTAGGGATTCACAGTTTCTTAAGATGGAACTAACTGCCTCCTAAACGCGCCCTTTTCTATGCCTCTGCAGAACGACATGGGTTAAAAGAACCAAAGAGAGTGGAGGAGCTATGCAACAAGATCACAAGCAGCTTAAAAGACCACCAGAGTAAGGGACAGGCCTTGGAGCCCACGGAGCCCAAGGTCCTGGGCGCCCTGGTAGAACTGCGGAAGATCTGCACCCTGGGTCTCCAGCGCATCTTCTACCTGAAGCTGGAAGACTTGGTGTCTCCACCTTCCATCATCGACAAGCTCTTCCTGGACACCCTGCCTTTCTGAGGAGGAGGAGCCTGAGCAGGGAGCCCCCTCATCTGCTACCGCCTGCTTGCTACGCAGCAGAGGGAGGGGTCTGGACACCTACCATTCCTGTCCTTCCTTAAGAGAAAAAGCAGCTCCTGACAAAATGAAAGACTTTTTTTTTTTTCTTCTGGCACTTTTCCTTACAACCTAACGCCAGAAAACTTGCAGAGTATTGTGTTGGGGTTGTGTTTTATATTTAGGCTTGGGTTTGGGGTGGGGAGGGGGGTTATAGTTCATGAGGGTTTTCTAAGAAACTGCTAACCAAGCACTTTTGGATGATGCTATCCCAGCAGGGGGAAAACAAAGAAGGATAATATAACTGTTTGAAAACTCTTTCTGGGGAAGACAATTACAGTTGCTTTGTATTTAAAAACAAGAACAGCCACGGGTTGTTCGCCAGGGTAGGACCTGTCTTGAGCTGATCGCTTTTAGAATATACTTCCTGTATCAAGGGTACGTATGTGGTGCAAGCAAGGCAGAAATTCCCTCGTCTTAATTTCTTTCTTCCTTTATTTTAACAAATGGTGAAAGATGGACGATAATCTATCAATCAGACATAGCAAAATGATAATGGCTGTTCGCTTCCATATACAAGTGCAATTTTTAAAGTGCTGTCTTACTAAGTCTTGTCTATTAACTCTCCTTTATTTTATACAGAAATAAAAAGGAGGCAAGTTAGCAAAGGACAAGTGCTAATTTCCTAGCACAGGTTTTTGTCCACCTGCCCTATAGACCCCTTCTGAGGTATGGTCCACCCAAGATTTCAGGCCATTCTTACGGATCCAGATCCCTGCCCTGACTGTCCAGCTGTCCCGAAGGGGGCTCAGGTTATAAGATGGATTACATACAACTGTTTTGGTTGTGTTCTATCAACCCACCCAGAGTTTCCTAAACTTCCTTCGGTTATAGCAACTGACTGACACAGTCATGCAGAAGCCCAGCCGTGTTCAGTGAGTCTCAAGTGTTGGGTTCTTAGGTAAGAACATGCAAAAAATAGGAACTGGATCATACAGGGTAAACACCAGGGGTAATAAGGTTTTTAATATATACAATTTAATTTTTGTTATCAGTTACAGAGACAATTATGGAGAGTAAGCAAGTCTTATTTTTTAAAAAGTAGTATGAATGTGAGTACTAGGAAGGATTAATGGGCTGCGTTTCAACATTCCGTGTTCGTACTCCCTTTTGTATGTTTATACTGTTAATGCCATATTACTATGAGATAATTTGTTGCATAGTGTTCTTATTTGTATAAACATTTGTATGCACGTTATATTGTAATAGCTTTGCCTGTATTTATTGCAAGACCACCAGCTCCTGGAAGCTGAGTTACAGAGTACTTAAATGGGGTGTTCACAGTGACTTGGATACGCCAACTAGAAATTAAATAAGCAAATATATATAAATATAGCAGGTTACATATATATATTTATAATGTGTCTTTTTATTAACCATTTGTACAATAAATGTTACTTCCCATGCGGTTATTTTATGGTTCATTTGCAGTGACTTTTAAGGCAGTACTGTTTAGCACTTTGATATTAAAATTTTGCTTATGTTTTGCTAAATTCAAATATAATGTTTGAAGATTTCTAGGTCTAAAAGTCTTTATATTATATATTCTGTATCAAGTCAAAATATGTTTGGCCATTTTGCTAAGAAACAAACTTTGAATGTCAAACTGATGTCACAGTAGTTTTTGTTAGCTCTGAGTCATTTTTGCTTTTTAAAGGAAAAGTAACAAAACTATGCTGTTTATATTGTCATTAAATTATACAATCAAACAAATGCCAAATGAATTGCCTAACTGCTGCAAAGAGGAACCCAGATAGCAAACCGTATATGTCTTTTTTCCAAGAGTCATTCTGATAGCTGATCATATATTATGTTTGTGTGAGCTTTTATGAAAGATTATTATTTTTATATCAAGATGATAGCATCTGGAATGTTAGGATCTTGGAATGTTAAAACTTGGAAGGGGCCTGACTTGTCAGCTAGTCCACCCCAACCCCAAAATTCATAGAGGAGAAAACGGACCCAGCAAAGGGTAAAGAGTTACCCAGGTCAAAGAGCTAGTACCAGAATCAAGTCTAGGACCTAAGTCTCTTTTCCATAGTCTTTTTACTCAACTTACTGCATCTATAGGAAAACAGGCTTTTTAAACTAACCAGACATACTTACATTTTACCTAATAATAACCATGAGTAAAGTAGTACTTTTGCATTAATTTTTTCAGCTTATATGCGAACATAATAAACATTATTCAATATCAGGAAAGCTAACATTTCATATAAGGTAGCTTCAGACCAAATTCAAGTTGAATTTGAATGAGTTAGAAGTACTGTGCATACATAATCCTTTCGTGCACCATTAGTATTGGAGAGTCAGTCCTTGTTTTTTTGTCATGTCTGAAAAAGAAAAGAAAAAAACACACACACACACACAGAGCTCTAGAGAAATGCTGTTACTTTTTATTTTTACACCCATCGGGTTTAAGGAAAAAGACCTTTTAACCGTAGTATCGATTGGTTGGAAGCAATGAAGAAGATTTTTAGTGATAGGCCCAGACACTTAGTGCTGAAAATAAAGATTATAGCCAGTGTTCTCCTGTCTTCCATAGTCATTGCAACTATGAGAGCCTTGGGAGGCTCCCACACCATCTATCAATTCAACTCTCTTTTTTTGTCTTCATGTGGACACACAAGTTTATACAGAGTGGATGACCGAACTAGCTCAGAAGAGGACGACAGCAAGAATCAAAGCAGGTGATTCCTCCCTTGGGGAAGAGCTCTCTCAGCGTGAACAGGCCTCCCCTGGGCGGAAGTCAGGAATCCACCAGCTGTTACTGGAGAGTGCCTAGCTTTCATTTCAGACAGCAGAGTTTCCCACAGTTCCTCTGCTCCTCACACAGCATTGTTCTTTAGTATGTGTTAACCTGTGGTTTGAAATTAATGCTCTTGTATATTAACAATGTAAATTTAAATGATTAAATTAAATTACATTTTATCAGTGGCTACTGGTGTGTTGAATAAGCATGCTTCATTTACCAGTATTTTCTTAATCATTTATGTAATAGTATTTGCTGTGAACTCTTAAATACATCCCCAAATTGATTTTTTTTAAAAGGCTTACTAATGCTGAAAAATTAATAGACATTCCAATTGGAAATATATTAAACCTCACTGATTGGGAAGAAGGACGGTCTAAATTCGATAACCATTTATTGACTATTTCCTGCAGGCAAAGCACTGTTGGGTGCTTTGAGGAGATACAAATGCACAGTTGTATGAAACTGTTTTTTGTTTCAATTGTATATAACTTAAATGGAGCTAACACTTTATTGTCTAAGTGTATTCTTTAGGGGTATGGAGGATTTGTTTCCATATCAAGATGATGGGATATCAATTGTTTGTGAATCAGAATTTACAAGAATAAGGTTAGCGTTCTCAAAGATTGATTGGTACTCTGCCTTTTGGCGGGAGCCATTACTACTACATTGCTAGACACCACTCTCTGTGGGCAACGCAAATGCAACTTTCATTCAACTCTACCCCACACAGCATATATTGAGTTAGTGCAAACACATTTTTCTGTGTTTTGATGGCTCAAAAAGAGAAATGTGGAGCTCTCGTGATTTACTTCATCAGTTTATGCATAAAGCATTTTCTGTGACATCTAAGTGCCATGTGTGGCCTAACAGCCAAACAAAACATCTTTCTGCTGCTCAGCAGTACTTTCATTTCCTCAGCAATAAAATACGATTAGTAAGAAAAAGTAAGAGATAATGAAGCATCATCTTGCATATGAATTTAAATATAGGGGCTTGGCAAAAAAAAAAAAAAAGGAAAGAAAGGACGCTAGGAGCAAAAGTTTGGTTTTGAATGGGTAGAGAGGCAAGAAGGTCAGGACTAAATAAGGGGTATTTGCCTGTAGTTGAATTTTCATAAGTTAAATACACAAAGATAACACAAGACGCTAAATGTTGACTTCTTTAAAAATTGTGGTAAGTCCAGCCACGGTGGCTCAGTGGTTGAGTGTCGACCTATGAACCAGGAAGTCATGGTTCGATTCCCAGTCAGGGCACATGCCCCGTTTGCAGGCTCAGTTCCCAATAGGGAGTGTGTAGGTGGCAGCCAATCAATGATTCTCTCTCATCATTGATGTTTCTCTCTCTCTCTTCCACTCTGAAATCAAATTTTAAAATATATTAAAAATTGTGGTAAGATACACATAACACCATCTTCACCATTTTTAAGTATATGGTTCAGGGATGTCGAACACATTCACCAATGTTAACCAAGCTTCAGAGCTCTTCATCTTGCAAAACTGAGACACCTACAGTCTTTGTGCGAACATGTTTCATTTCTTTAGAGTAAATACATAGGAGTGGAATCGCTGGGTCGCTTTAACTTTATAAAAAGCTGCCATGCCTTTTTTACATATAAATAGAACATTTGGACACACAATGGCCACTCAGGATAAACAGGTTTCTCTCATACTTCCGTGCAGCCAGGGGTGGTATATAAGTGACATTGTCATCTGGGTACTATGTCCTATGTACCTCTCTCCTTCCAGGTGGCATCTGACAGCAGACTTCTAGAGACATTATTATTGTCTGGCCCCAAAAAGTGTCTCTGTGGGTAGAAATTTCAACTTGGAGAAGAATCAAGAGTAGCATCATGATAGGTGATATTTTAGGATGGCTCGTGATAGCCCTGGTCTTGGAATATGTCTGATTTATACTGTAACCCACATTAGCTGAGGCCTCTGTTCTTTAGGATCTAGAAGGATTGTTTTGAACTCCCTATTCCACAAATAGGGAGGTCCAAAGACCTCCTCGCGATATCTTCAAATTCTGCCAATTTTTACATTAGCCTGGCTTTAAGGTGCCACTTCTGTTTGCTTAGCTCTGTTAATGAACTGTCTTGCTGTACTTCTTTCTGGTATCACCCCTATTTCTGGAAGTACAACTTGGATCTTTCCTTAATTTCCACCTCAAAATCATACATAAGACTTTCCCAAGTTCTAGAAAGCTATCTTAAGCAATACCTGGTGTCATTCACCATTCTTACTCTTCCCTCGCCATCTTCTATCTGGAACATGAATGCTACTTAGACTATAGAGATAAGGGTACCTCCTCTAGGAACTGCGGAAAAATAATTTGGAAGGAATCCAGGTCTCTGAGTTTTGTGGAGAAGAGTTACCCTTTTAAGTCTTGGGTTTCCTATATTAAACTTTTCATGAGAAAGAAACTCCTTGTTTAAATCACTGTTATTTAGAGTCTTTCCATTATTGAAAGCTGAACTAAAATCCCAACTAAGATACACAGGACATAAGAAAAATCTCCTATATGCAGCACAGGTTTTGTTGTTGTTGTTGTTTTAAAGTGCCAGGAGTATTAAGGATAATGACTCAGTGTGAATCATGTTGGTTTTGAGCCTACCAAAACAAAAACAAAAACAAACAAACAAAACTAAAAGACATCTTAGGTCACAATTATTTGTTCATTTATTAATTCCTTGATTCATTCACCTTTGGACTAGGTCCTGTTTTTCTGCTTCTTTGTAACCTCATAGACCGGATGCAGCCTGCCCCCTCATGGTCGTAATTCTCTGTTTTGTGGTTCTTCTCTTATCACTATCTAATTTCACTTTTGCCACTCACCACCTTATTCAGTATTTTCCAATTCCAATTCCTGAGAGAGAAAATGTAATCGGTCCATCTCAATTTTTCATACCAGGCCAAGTGAGATCCCTGAACAATCTGTGGATTTGGTGCCCTGGGGTCATGGCTGGTCCAATCAGCTGTGATTGAGGAAGAACATGCATTGACTCTTCGGAAAATATTATAACTTGAATAATTTCTGTTTGAAGGGGCTGTGATTATATTGTCACTGTGACTAATATGTCTAGCATAGTAGGAAGCTTGACTTGCTCATGGGGCCAATTGTAGAGGGCAGTTTTGGTAGAATCATTCTTTCTCAATCTCTTAAGTGCCTAGCACAGCGGTTCTTAACCTGTGGATCACAACCCCTTTGGGGGTCGAATGACCCTTTCGTAGGGGTCGCCTAAGACCATTGGAAAACACATATATAATTACATAGTGTTTTTGTGATTAATCACTATGCTTTAATTATGTTCAATTTGGAACAATGAAAATACATCCTGCATATCAGATATTTACATGATGATTCATAACAGTAGCAACATTACAGTTATGAAGTAGCAATGAAAATAATTTTATGGTTGGGGGTCACCACAACATAAGGAACTGTATTAAAGGGTCGTGGCATTAGGAAGGTTGAGAACCATTGGCCTAGCATAATGCTTGATTCCCTGAAACCCTTAGAAAATGCTTGTTGAGTAAATTCAAGTTAATATTTATTGATGGGGGTGGGAGATGGGAAACATACCAAAATCTCAAGAGACAGACTATGTCATGATTTCCAAAGTTGGTATCTATCTAGAGCCAAAGTGTCTAGTTTCATATTTTTCTGAACTTCAATGCAAAAAAAAAAAAGAGTGAAAATTAGCACAACCTCAAGCAAGGTTTGTTTTTTCCTTTCCTTTAGAAAGCAGCTGTCAGTTTAACTTATCCCAAAATACTGTCAGTGATGAGCGTGACTGAAAATGCATTTTATCTGTAATTAGAGAGATTACATTAAACACTATTATTTGCAGACACACATTGAATTAACCCTAATCGAGGCTAGCAAATAGTAGAGCCTGCCTATTTTTTGCCTCAAAAATTTTAGAAAATTGTGACAGTTGACACACGAGGGACGATGCTGACGATATTTCTTTCCATCAAACGCCAGACAGTAATTGTAATTGCCTTTAAAAATATTTTAAGCAGTTTCTTTAGTAAATCAGAACTTGCCACAAATCATGCTGATAGTTTCTAAACATGGGGTTGTTGACTGTGCATTCCAATATGAGTTTAATGAATTGATTTTCTAAGGAATTTAACTTTGCATCTGTTTTCAGGTATAATTAATTCACTGTGGTTAATATGATTAGCATGGATATCAGTGGATTATACATGATCCCCTTTATTTATTCACTTATTTTTAATCTGCCATACTGTCCATTGGGAAATTATGTAAGTTTTGGGGGGAAACATCTTGCTAGTAGCTTTGATCACATTGGATTTCTGCAAAGCAGAATCCTGGCAGGAATTTACTGATTATTCACAGACTGTGAATCAATGTACTCTTGTTTGAGGGACCTATTCAAGTTTACACAGTCCCTGTCTTTAAAGAGTTTATAATCCAGAGAGGAAGGTGAGACAAACATTCTAATGAAAGTCATTGTAAGAAGAAAAAATGGCTATGCCCAGATACTTCTTCCTCTGAGCACCTACCTCCCCTCTCCCCTGCTCTCCTTAAATAATGCTGTTACCTAGGGGGTGTCAATGGCCTGCCTCTCCTCTAATGCTTCCCACTATCCTGGGTAGTCTTATTCATGGCTTCAACCAGCACTTTTGAATCTCTATCTCTTACTCGGTCCTTATCTCTGAGCTCCCAACCTGGAGGTTCCAGATGCCTCCAGATATCTTCACCTGTATATACCACAGAAACTTCCAGTTCAACATACCAAACCCAAGTCTGTGATCTCCATCCGAAGTTGCCCCTCCCGTCTCCCAATCTCTGAGAGTAGTTCCTGTATTCACCCAGTTGCCCAAGCCAGAGATTTTCAACTGGTGTGCTCCAAAAAATTTTTAAACATGTAATACTTGACTATTTAGTCAGAGGCCCTGACCTCTTTTCCCTTAGGTCCGTGGTCGGCAAACTGCGGCTCACGAGCCACATGCAGCTTTTTGGCCCCTTGAGTGTGGCTCCTCCACAAAATACCACGTGTGGGCGCCCGTACAGTGCGATTGAAACTTCGTGGCCCATGCGCAGAAGTCGGTTTTCAGCCTGGGAGAGTCTATTTT